ACTGCGGCTGCTGGCCAGTCACGCTGGCTGCTGGCTACACACAGCAGCCCAGCTCCAGGTTGAGCTGTTGTTCAGCATGTTAGCTGTAGAGGGCAGTGTCACTGGCCCTCATATGTGGGATCTGAACCGGGGCCCTCTAGCGTCCCAAGCCAGTTCTTAACCATCGCGCCACTCGGCCGGCCCTAAAGTACTTAAGACTCTGCGCTGATTTAAGGACCCTGTGAGTGCCTGTTTATTCATTCTTGTGTCAGCAGTATATCCCTGAACTTTTCGATCTTTGCCATTCAGATAGTTAAAAAATGATGAACAGAAGCTGCACTTGCGTTGTCTACTATTCAGAGCTTTTCTTCATTCTTATCAAATTTTCAAGGACGCTTTTATGAGTTGGACAGCTGCAGCAGTTGGGATGGGGCAGATTCTTTATGAGCCAAGTGTTTTTGCCAAAACAGCATTACTTCCCAGGCTTACTAAGTTACTACGGCCGTCCTAGAGCCAGGCCGACCGTGATCACTGCCTGCTTCCTAAAACCCTGGGGTGGGGGCGGGAGTGACCCCCACTTTGACCCCTTTTTCTTACTCCATCCTTTTCTTTGGTCTGTGCCACTAATGTTGCTTTATCAGCACAGACAACCACCTGGCAGTTTGAATTTGTCCATCAATTCTGTATGTACCAGCATTGTCAGTATGTCTTATTTATAATACACTACAAAACTGTGCAAAACTTCTTTTTATCACCTGATGGCAAAATCAGAGCCAGATATGCATCTTCTAGCAGTTTCTTTTGGCCTGTACTCTCATGCTTGTAACCTTTCCCCAGATGTATTTTCCTTCCGTGGTTTTCCTTTTATCCTGATTTCCTTGTCTGTTTATTTTATCTTGTATGCATTTTTATTTTGTAAGCTGTTTCAAATATCTTTTGGAAGTTAATGCAGAGTATTGATCAACAAGTGATAGCAAAAATTAGAACAAAGGAAAGGGAAATTAAAAGATGAAAGATGCATTTAGTATCATTTGATTTGCCAGAACTCTGCTTTGACCATTTAGGTAAACTGTTTCTATTAGTATTTGAACAAAATGCCATTGGTAGCATCATGTTAATGTTTCCTCAGCCACTCAATAGACTGATAGGAGCCACAGGCCTGGGACAATTCCTAGCACAAAAATAAATAAAATGTGGGAAAAAAGTGGAATATGCATACATGCCTTTTGGCTTATTTTTTTCCTTGGATTTCAAGGACATGACAGTCGGTTTCCCCTTTCTAGAATAGTCTAAACTTTAACAAACTGAGCCTCTCTTACCAACCCATCCTTATGTAGCAGACCCTGTCTGCTGAGAGGGTCTGTGTACATATCACTCTGTTTCATGTAGGTTACAGTTAAACCATTCAAACCAAATATGAAGAAATGGCTAACCACTCAATTTGGAAAGGATCAGATGTATTTCAACACAGAACCACCAGAACACCTTTGGAATGAGCAATCTCTATTTGTATTTCTTTATATGGGGTTTGACTGATCTCCCATTCTTACCTTGTGCCAGTTTTCCTTTTGTCCTTACCTGTTTTTTCTTCTTGACAGGTTGCTTGTACACATTTAGATGTGGATTTAGTCTGCATAACTGTAACAGAGAAACTACCATTTTACTTCAAAAGACCCCCTATTAATGTGGTAAGTGTTACACTTTCCATTCTATACTTGAATCTGTAGAAACTAAGATTAACAAGCTGGACAAGAGGCAGAGGAAACCAGTGTTCTTAGAGGGGAAAAAAA